AGTGTTTTCCCGAGAAATTTTGGTGCAGTCGATTTTTGGAAAAAAAGAAGGTTATACACTGCCTTTTTTTGCCTCGAAAAAAAAATTGTCTCAGATCGTCCCGGAAAAAATTTTTTCTTATAGAACGTGGCCTGTAGAATCCATAATTTCAAACAGTTCCAAGATTGGGCTACTAGTTCAAAAGTTACAGCCCTTTGATTTTTCTTTCGAAATTGGTTTCTAGTCTGTAACTTTTGATTGAGAAGTATGATCGAAAAAGTACGAATTGTTTTGGATTCTACGCACCAAAATTAATAAGAAAAAGTGTTTTCCCGAGAAATTTTGGTGCAGTCGATTTTTTGGTAAAAAAAGAAGGTTATACACTGCCTTTTTTTGAACCCCGAAAAAAAAATTGTCTCCGATCGACCCGGAAAAAATTTTTCTTATAGAATGTGGCCTGTAGAATCTATAATTTCAAACAGTTCCAAGATTGGGCTACTAGTTCAAAAGTTACAGCCCTTTGAATTTTCTTTCGAAATTGGTTTCTAGTCTATAACTTTTTTTTTAGAAGTCTGATCGAAAAAGTACGAATTGTTTTGGATTCTACGCACCAAAATTAATAAGAAAAAGTGTTTTCCCGAGAAATTTTGGTGCAGTCGATTTTTGGAAAAAAGGAAGGTTATACACTGCCTTTTTTTTGCTACGAAAAAAAAATTGTCTCAGATCGTCCCGGAAAAATGTTTCTTATAGAAGGTGGCCTGTAGAATCCATAATTTCAAACATTTCCAAGATTGGGCTACTAGTTCAAAAGTTACAGAATTTTCTTTCGAAATTGGTTTGTAGTCTATAACTTTTGATTGAGAAGTCTGATCGAAAAAGTACGAATTGTTTTGGATTCTTGAGTTACAAAAACAAATACTGCTTCCATAAAGGTATTTAATTACAAAGTATTTGAATACTTTAAAGGATTTGAATACTAAAAAGTATTTACAAAATCGAATACTGCCCAGCTCTGATGCTGATAGATCATTTAAACATAATAATTCATAGAAACAGAAACATTTGGACCACTACAAAAATTACAACCCCTGCAGTCGAGGATTGATGCGTGTGAGATTTATAAGAATTTAGGTAAGTATAAAACGAGAATAAAATTAACTTTGAGGGTTGCATTGCATTACTCATAGAAACGTTTCAGGGCAGATTTAGTTCTGATTACAGTTCGGAATAGCCTTTCAAGAGATTTTTGACTAAGGCGTGGATAACTCTTTAAAACCTTGAAAGGTGTTTTAGGTAAATAAATACAGTAAAAAACACCTATAAATGTTTTTTAGAGATGTTTCTGAGACTACGAGTTACTCAGCAGTCAGCATGATCCTGGCAACGATTTACTCCCATGTTTCGATCATCTTGAGCATGTTATACAATATCCATTATCCAAATATTCAAACTTAGTAAGTTTGTAAATTTGTCCCTAAAATCTATAAAGCTTTGGTATGACGTTGGTACAGTTCTATTAGCCCAGTGCATGTATGGGTAATACACAACCATTCTATTATAATAAAAACGCAACGATCAAGTATAATACCGAGTTATAAGTCGGGATTAGATATTATCCAGATTTACACCTTGAGATTAAGTGTAATCACGATTTAGACGTCAGGATTAGATATAATGCCAAGTTAAATCTTGAGAATAAGTATAATTCTTACTTACCTCTCAATATAATTCCGACATCTCGAGATTACATAATTTGTCATAAAGTGTAACGCATAGGGAAAACTTGTTTTATCAATATATGGATTCCAAAAATTACTTTCAAGGGTTCTAAAGTTTGCCAGAAATTCTAATTAGTTGTATATATTTTAGAGATTCCATTATGGTATTAGAAAGCAGAAGGTACCAAATTCTAAAATTTCTGAACTTGCTAATAGTCTTCTTTTTTATAATCAAACATGCTGCTAAACAACATGCTTTTTAGACCTACTGTAACTGCCATAGCATGTTATAATTGCGCCTAGTGCAAATGTATACTTATATATTACGTCATTTTTAAAAATGTAATTACAAACTTTCTAATAAACAGAATGAATTTGCTGCTTTTGAGTATATATAGAATGTTAGAAATGAAGCAAACTGAAAGACAAAGAACAAACTGCAAAAATTGTGTTTTATTAGGTAGTGATAATTAGCATTATTAGGACAAAGGTTATTATGAGGAGATGTACAAACATAGGTTTAACGAAACATAGAAGAAAAGTTAATGTAAGAGAAATTATACTTATAACAAATTACTACAGTTTTAACTGATATGTATTGAAATTCTAAATGATCACAAAAATTGTACGACTTAAATTTGTATAAAAGGGTGACCATACCAAGTAGTAAGCAACTACAGTTGGTCGGTTCCAATTTAGTAGATTAAGTAATAATAATAATAAACTAAATCAGTTTATGTTACATTTTGCAGTAGTTGACCATAAATAACTTGAGACATCACTCATCACGTGAAAAGAATTATTTCCTAGATCGATATACGAAGTTTAGTAACTCAGTATTTAGTCCAATAATGAATTCCACGATACAAGGCAAAAGATAGTTATTGTACAAGAAATACAAAGTATCACCCCAACGCATCTCCAATAATCTCACACTTAGAAATACAGATTAAGTTACATAAACTGGTATTACACAATATATTGCATCACTTGAAAGATTGTCGATAATTTTTTTTATGAGGTCTATGTCACTATTTACACATATGCTAGCAAGTAGTCTCAAGCACAGGGCAACAGCAAGCGCTGGGACAAACCGACGTAACACCGTTGCATGTGGGAAGAGACTGAGCCTTTGGTGGCGGTAGTGCTGGTTGGGACCGTGGTGAATTTTGAGCACTAGAGCATTGACGCTCAGCACGAGCCAGCATACCCGATAGAGCTCGTAAAGTAAGATGTGGTGAAGGGCAGTGAGGTGGGGAAGCGGGCCGGCAGGACGCCGAACCCGCTGCCCCGGGCTAGAGCAATTTTTCTCCAGCTGAACTTGATGTACCGGAACTCGCTGTACAGTCATCTGTCCCAATTAGTTGTCAGTTAACTAATTCCACGTTTACAAACTGTTTAAGCCTTTCCAAATACACGTTATATAATTCAACGTCATTATGGCCGGCACCCTGTAACAAACAGAATTACATTATAACAAATCATTGCTTATCTGGCTTAAACAGCCGTTTATTCACAAAAATTAAAAATAATAGTTATTTAAGCATCAAGAGCATTAAGGCGATATTTATGCCAAGGGCGACAGAGCCCGAGGGCCTCCGGCCCGAAGGATTGTGTCGCCCGAGGGTTAAATATTGTGTAATGCCTGAGGTGCATACAACATTTTATTTTTCATCGTCCCAAAGAATGCATTTCAAATATACAAATGTCATGATTATTGTTTGCCCAACATTAAAGTGCTTCATACGAATCAAGTTGCATCTTTTTTATTCATTCATTCATTCACTTTTATTTAATTCCTTCGACAAATAACATTTGTATGGAACAAGTCAATATAACATCAATTTAAACAAACACCCAATTAAATATTGGAAGATATAAAAAATTCTTGTATGTTGTAGAAACATTACATAATATAACTCCGTCAATCAATTTGGCCGTTTGAGGGCATGAGATGACAATCCATTATGCCCTTGGGCGTAATAGACTGCTTCATATATCACATAAAAGACAGATATAATTGACATATAATAGGCAAATGAAAAATAAAAACATTAACAAATTAAGCCTGTCCTAACCTGCTCTAACACCGTGTACATTCCAACCAAGGGAGGGCACCAAGCCTCAGGATAACCCACCCAGCGGTTCTATGGCGTTAGAGGTACAAACTGCCTCTGCCAATCCCTCTACATCTACAGGCTGTAGAAGTGAAAAAGTAGGCATCCTACCCAAAAGATATAGTGGACTGTGCCTACTTTCTGGGGGACGCTTTGAAGGTGTCTACCCAAAAACCAAAATATAGGAACATTAATCTCGTGCTGGGCTCCGCCGTCCACTTGCACCATTTGGTATGAGTCAGCTCGGACACAAACCACAGAATTAGAATATATTTACTCACTCTCACTTGAAATAGCTAACAGGGGAAATGTAACCTTTGTCAATAAAATTAGGCAGGTTTTATCTAGCGTTTCCACTACTTGGGGCAAATATAATTCACTGGCATTCTCGAGTGAGGCTTCACAGTCACTATGGACGTATCTGATTTCACACAAACAGTAACCGTCAGGGTCCCTCAGCTTACAGACTGGTGTTCCTATATGAGAGATATACCAGATCTGAATTTGATCAAATCCATCAAACAGTTAAAACAGTAGAGTAAGCACCAAAAATCGATTTGTTCAGCAGACCTACATCACTCTCACTCCTCAATACAACTTTACCTTCCTCGTTCGCAAGGAGGCTAACAGACATAAAACTACCACAGCCGTTACACAAGTTCTCCTGGGTTTGCCTCCACTTCATTCCCATGTGCAAGATCAGGCGTTGAGGGCAACCTTACGACGGCGAACAAAGGGATGGTTGAACAACAGACGCAGTGAGGTAGACCACTTTCAAATTCTAGATGCGGCAGTCATACATCTGCCCATACTGGAAGGCACTGTCTCTCTTCGTTGCTCAATTCATTATGCGGGTCACTCTGTAATTGGGCGCATGCCTGTTGAGGGCCCAGGACAAGAAAGGGATAATAAATAAAATAAATTATAGTATTTCAAATGAAGTAATGTTCAGTGCTAGTTCTTAGTGAAACATAATGAAAAAGCTGACAAAGTGGTTAGAACAGCTCTCCCCCTTGCAGTATCCACTGCAACTAATCTAATAACTCAAGATATCCCATGCAAAATACACAGCCAAATGGGGCTTGATTACCGCTATGCGAGAAATAGGCCATCACAGGAACATCTCGTTGTTTGGTGGGATTTTGTATAAGATTATTAATGAAAAACCTGCGCATGCTGGTAGGCATACTCTCTGGCCACTGTAAAATAAACAAGCACATGTATCACACGGGTTGGGCCGACATACATTTCATAAAACAGTTACATAGCGATTGTAGCCAGCCCAATGATAATATGAATTAATCCAAATAAATAATAAAAGCAAGCTCATTTACTGATTATTTATTGTTGCTAATGAGCCATAAGTTGGCCCCACATTACATGGCAAACTATGTGTACAAGTTTTCTTGCCAAATGAAAGCTTGTGAAGTGGTTCGTACACATTATTACATACTTCATAACAGTATCACAAATTTTCCTGGTTAGCATCCTTTGAAACAGACTCGTAGGAGAACGTTTACCAATGTTTGCCACATAATGTGGGGTCAGCTATACACAAGTAAGGGGGCACGTCATAGTGAGAAGTGCAGATTTTCAACTTTTATCAATCCCATTTACAGTGTTGAATGTTAAAAAAGTTTGCGTTTATTTATCTTTAACACAATTTTAATGTAATTCTTTTCCAAATGTTGGTCTGTATCGTATATGCTCAACGGCAAAAATTATAATGACTATAGATAATAGAAAATACCTAGTAGAAAAATTCATTAAAAAGTACAAAACCTACACATTTATTATTGACTTATGGTGCAATGATAACGGGAGGTGAAGGAAGGTCTTGATAAAGCCTAAAATATGTAAACACCACGCACACTTAATGATCGTAAGAGACTTTGAACAAATAACTGATGCATGCTAAACTGCAAATACAGAATCCAGTGACAGATAAGTTTTGATCCAGACCAAGAAGAAATACGATACACTTATAATTATAACCAATTTTATTGACTGAACCTTTGAACCCTATAATATTACAGGCCCTCTGTCTATTCCATAATCTGTCACTGAACCTACTGATCAGCGAGATCAATTTTTCGTGGATTTTCTGTATACAAACATCGCAGTCATTAACTTGATTAAAAGAAGAGACTTCATTTTGTATAGTATCGAGCATAATAAGATAAAAACTCTCACCTCAACCCATAAAGGCTCAACCGCACGAGGGCATTTTTCGAATATTGTGAGTCCATGTGAAAAGTCTATAACCTCATCTTCAGTACCATGAATAACTAACGTGGGCGACGTAACCTTGGGTACTTTATCAATACTGCAATGTTCAAATTAAACAGATCGTCACATAATAGCGCAACTTACCTGGGGAAGGCATCAAAAAACCAAGTTCTCTTGGTATTAGGAAAGGCCACTCGCATACCTGACATAAGAGGTGAGTGTAAAATGACAGCACCAACTTCGTAGCGTGCTGCGAGATCAACCGTGGGAACAGTTCCGATACTCTGTCCATACAAAATAATATTCTCCGGGCTAATACCGTAACGAGTCCGTAAAGCGAGCCATGCTGCGTCGATGTCCGCGTACAAATTTTTTTCTGAGGGTTTACCAGCACTTACACCGTACCCTGAATAATCGTAACTAAATATATTACAATTTATACGAGATCCTAGTCCCAAATAGAAACTACTCATTTGTCCTAAGTCGACAGCATTGCCGTGTGAAAATAATATGGTAAATCTGGCAGTGTTACTACATCGCACAAACAAACAGGCAATTCGATTGCCTCGATTAGTCCTAGTAAAAAAACCTTCTACATTTTCTTTTTCACGCTCGGAATATTGCCACTCCGCTCGTTCGGTAAGTGTTAAGGCGTACTTGCCGGCTCCATCTGCGTGAAAATCGTACGTCGGTTCAGGTGGTAAAAATGCCAGTTTCGCCGCTATTCTACTTGGACACGGTGGGCAGCAAAACAAGCAGCACAACTCACTCCAACTCAAACCATTCATTTTACGATATTCCAAAAATCAAACGAAGATAAAACACACCGTTACAACATAAATAACAAAGATTTACAAATCAACTAAAATAAGGTATCTGACGTTCGTTGTTGACAACGCCATTTTGTAAAGGTTTGTTCACTATCGCAATTTTCACAAAACAAACCACAAACTTCTGCATGGTGCCATTTTTCTATACTGTTGGCTGCACTAAATTCCAAGGGCGTAGCTAAGGTGGGGTTTACACATTTTATAAATTTAACACTGGGTCAGAATTTTTGTCTATGAACGATACTGACGGAGTAAGAGGCGTTGCGGCGAAGGGGAATGTAAGGGGAAGTTTGGCAAATGCAAAATGTTTGTTTGTTAAACATACTACTACCATAGACATAATATGTCTATGACTACCACCTGTGCTACTCATATACATATGTGGTGCTACCACAAAGAAAGATGCATAAAACCTGTAGATGAATTTGTTTAAAATTGCGATAACGATTCTCATGACTCGGAGTTGAAAATATGCGAAAAAAATCGTCTAAGCCCCTTCCCCCCCCCCCTCGAGATCTCTATAGCGTCATTTCCAGAAGACTTTAGGTATTGTCTGGAGCTATTAAATTCTTGGCAAAGTTTTTCAGACTGTTTCCAAAGCATTTTATATCGTTTAAAGAGCTTTCCAGCAGGTGATAAGACGCTTTTCCAGAGTATATTCTCAGACCCTTATTTAGGTTCGTCTGGCTCAGCAAACTACATAGAACGCACCGAGTTTTTCGAACTCTCTAACCTGAAGAGCCTTCTATCGAAGACTGAAAGATTGTTCTGAAAAATCGGTTTTGGGTTACACCAAAAATTAAGCGTTAATTATTCGCTTTTTTTGGCACCCTGATAAAAGTCAATCAAAACCCGTTATGTAACTATCTGTTATACCCTCAAGCTCTAATTGTGCGTCTTACTGACCATTAATTGGTACTGGTTACCGTCATGTAAAACAGTTAAGGAATACCTAAATATTATTCATATTGGAATCTAATCGAAAATAAGGTATTTTAAAAACCATTACCCCACCTAACTTTTTCATAAATGAATTTTTTCTTGGGCAAAAATTAGGCGCCAATTATCGCATCTCAATGTGCCTTTAGAATGACATTTTGCGCGCCCTTCGAATGAAATTTTGTGGCCTAAGAGAAAATAAGTTATTTCAATACAATTAGCGCCATCAATTTTACCTAGCCACAGGTAACTAACTAGCGACATGTAACTGCATGATAGCTGCAGAAGCAAAATAAGATTTAAGCAATTTTGTTTCAACAGTGTTGTCAGTTTCCCTGACAGGAGACATATAGAAAACATCACCATTGAACATTGATTTTTTATTTATATAAATAATGGATACAGTAACCATCATGAAATAAATATACAACTCTCAAAAGAACGGATAACGTACATAGGTACAAGAAACATATTCCTTTTAAAAACAGTTTTAGTACATTGTAAACAATGACTACTCATAACAAAATGAAAGGAATAAAAATTAAGAGTCAAGACATAAATTAGCTTTGATCCATTAAAAAATAATCATTGTGTATGTTAGCTGTATCCTTTTGAATTGATTCAAAAATAGGCAGCAAATCTGGAGTACTTTTGATTTGAGTAACAAACTCATTAAGATGAGGGTTTTTATCTGAAACAAGCCAATATGTAAGCAATTTAAGCAATAATATCAACATACCAGCATCAGGAATCATTAATAATGCATTGATCGCTCGCATAGCAGACCTCTTTAGTTCGTCTTGTTTTTCATACTCTTGCTTAACGGAATTCGCTTTAACCTTCATTGTGCACGTAACACGTAGAGGATCTACTAGTCTGTCTAATCCTAAACGGAAAAAAAATTAAATTAAAATAACACAATTGGTAATGCCATACTTTGTAAAACAGCTCCCGGACAAATTTGTGCGAGACGAGCAGCCATTAAGTACGTTAACATCTTGATGTCATAATGATCTTTCAAACCTCCCTCCACATGATTGAGAAATTCGAAAATATCGATTCGATCTAGACATGAATCCAGTAAGGTGTACATGCATTCGAATGCAGCTTTACGAATATCGAGGCCATCATCAACAGTATGCTTGAATGGACCCATTTCCACTTCTCGAATCAGTTCTTTCTGTTAAATGCAAAAGTTATTGCTCTCAATTTTGTTTATTAGTCAAAGATTATACTACACTAGATAGATAACGCCTGCACAAATTCCACTCCTTCCTTAATTTCTCCTCCAGAATAAGGTGACCCATGCTTTTAACACAATCATACAACTTTCCACTTTGTACTAATTAGTAATGCTACAGTTTATATTTTGTTATTTTATAACATACATGTTTGCAAATTATTTTATTATTATATTTACCAGAACAATGGATTACTGTATTGTTTGTGTATGATTGCAAGTTAATGAAATCCTTATATAGGCGTTCGTCAACTCTCTGAATCATTGAGTTTGATTAGAACAACGCAATCAAACAAATTGATATTTATTTCTTAAATATGAACATATTGTATACATATATACAGTGTCAATTTGAAAATTTGTACCACAAATATATGAGTCGCAACAAAAAATCACAGCCAACCTGCGCAGTTCAGTTGAAGCTGGATATTTAAGGGGGACATTTTATAGGCTCGTTATACATGAAATTGGATAAACTCTCTAATAGGGGTAGAAGCAATCCTTAAAATCTAAATAACGAAGAAAGGTTATACAAATGTCTATTCCGAAATATTAAATACTTGTTTCTTTTCAGTACTTATCGAGTGTTCTGAAATAAAATAATAACAAATCAATTTTGTTTTGTTGTTGACATGTCCAAGACAGTTTATACATTGTGTGGCAGAAATTTTAGGTTTTGTAAGGCTTAAATTATTTTCAAAAATGGTTTTTATTCTTTAACTAAGAATCAAAATTATATTGCACAGCTATATTACACTACATTGAGGATACCCCGAAAAATAAGATTCCCACAGTCTAAATCTATTACTTCGTAGCTAAGGTAACGACCATATGCACGACTGAGCAATATAAAAATTGCCAAAAATAAATAGAGCCATATTGCAATGATCACCATTACACCCTGGGCCAAAATTGTGCAATGTGCTACTGAATAACTTTAAAAGAGTAAGATTAACTAAAAACCTATTTCAAAATATTGAAGAATGGATGGTGACTTACATGACACTTCTAGACAGCATGTTAATTACTCTTACAGACATGAATCACATTTGCCGAAATACTAACAAAAAACACATAACAAAAAAAGAACAATGCAACTTTATGTTGACTATGTAGACTAATAACAAATACACTTTGCTCAGGGCTGTATACTTGGCTCTTTTCCTCTTCAACTTTTAAATTTTCAAATTCACTTTCTCTCTCTCTTGTAGATATTACAAATTTTAATTCATAATAATCTCATGTATTGAACACATACAATACGACATATGAGAATAAAGTCAATTATTATAACATTTGTGGAGAATTTGTTGTACTATTATGCATCTTTTACCAAAATTTCAAATCAATAACACTCTCCGGCAGAGTCTCCAAAATAGCTGCTTCTGTCTGGTTGGGAGTAAATAAATAAAGGAAGATATCATATTTGTGTGTATCTTCATTCAGATGATTGATTCTTTTGTTTCATAATAAAAGCTCCCTATAGCATTTTTACGGAACTATCTTACGGTTAGGCTATCTAGTGTAGTATTATCTTTGTCTAATTATATACCTTGACTTTAGTCTCCCTGTAAAGATGAGGTAAAATGGTATCGAGTAAATCTCTAATAAGAGATGGTTTGTTGTGGGCCGCCGAGTTGAACGCAACCAAAGCGACTCGTCGAACATTAAGATCTGGATCTTGTATAGTGTTGAGAAACTGACCGATACACTGTCGTAATAATGGGTCGATAGCTTGTGGTTGGTCCGATATAGTAAATTTGACAGCTGTAACCACAGTTGTCCGCATTAACGGAGAGTGGGAATTTAAGTATTCTTGTAGCTGAGGTAGTAAGTTCCCCGGATCGATAAGTGTAAGCTTTCCCAGACATTCGGCCACAACATTTCGTGTTCCTTCCTCTATGCATTCGCAGTGGAGAAACAACTGCTGCCAAATGGCCGGCACAAACTGAATGATTTGGTATGGCGATGCAGATAGACAAGTGATAACCTAAAATTATTTGCTGTAACAATGAAAACTAAATGCAAACACATACTTCTTTCAAAGAATGAAGTAACAGATATTGACGTTTGGGCTGATTTTCTATTTCTTGCAAAATAAATGGCAAATATTGTTGCAAATTGCCAATCGAGACGCTACCCAAAGCATAACTTGCCGCCGATTTCACTTCCTCAGATACCGCCAAAAACGAATGCAGGATAACTTCCTTTAGGTTACCGACAGAACTAAGATCCCTGCAAATATTCAATTAGATTTGGATATTACAAAGGTAACGTCATTGAATTTATAACTATCAGAAGCGCAGGTTATATGGCACAAAATGTGACAGTTTTCAATAGTTTAAATTGCAAGACGTAGATGTCTCTACCATCAAGAAAGATGAATAATAACCTCAGTTTTTTACCTTCCTTAATTATTAAACAAGCAAGATTCAAGAATCTGTAATGAACCCACTATCTCGATTTGTAATTGTTGCATACAGAATTCTAGGTACTCAAGAAAAGTATTTGTAATGCATTTATGTGGCACACAAGCATGGATGTTCAATGACGCAAGATAAACATTCGTCCTTTCATAAATCGTGACCTACTCAACATTCCTTAAAGAAGATTGAATTACATATGTACAGGAAAGCAAAAAATACGTAGGCATCCTTGATCATTGCGACAGAAATGAAATGTATCTACCTATATCTATTCTTCATTTTTGTGTGTGTCGGTCAAACCACCTAGAATCACATGTCACACCTGGCAATTTTCATACCAAATAATAAGGTCGTTAACTTGTTACCTCTTTACTTTTAAATTCTCGCTCATGTTTGAAATTTGTTCTTAATTCTCGAAAATCTTTGAATACCAGGTGATCCAAAAATATGGACAGTTGAATTTCCCGAAAAACAAAACATTGATAAACCAACTGTTTTGTGCAGCGGTGGACCACTTTAGTGGATAACTAAATAATAATCACAGTTAATAAAAATTAATTTATCAAACAGGCGCACTCTTTAGTTCATGTTTTCAAATATTCATTACATTACCTGTGCTAATAGTTATTTTATATCATCCAGCGTAGACGAAGTACCTACTCGATCGAAACTATTAAATCAATATCATATCCTAATTGAATTTAATTTATAACTACATTCAATAAAATTCAACATCTTTATGGAGTGCTTTCAAATCTAATTAAAAGTGCAAAATTTTGTAAACGAAGTTTCTGTTAATTATTGGAAAAATTGGTTAACTATAAATTATTAGTAACCATAAACGTCAATATTTGATAAAATAATCCTTCAAGGACTGCACTCTTCGTTCCTCGAAATCAGAGGTTCCCAAACTTTTTTTTGCAAAAGCCTTCGCGAAACAAGTAAATAGGTTTTTGCCCTAAGTAACTTTAGCGCATTTTCCATGCATTTATCAGTACTTCCTAAAAGGCTATGACTATGTTCTTCTTTACTAAAAGCATCCATGCTAAAATTTCAAAGAAATATCTTCATAAATAAGAAAGCACTGCACTAACGATTGAACAAGTAACATATGAGCGGGGGTAAAATTTCTCCAACTAGTGACTAGTAAGGCTCACATTCTGATCTGCCACTTAATCTCACATAATCAAATATAAAAATTTGCCAGGATGTAAGTTACTTACATTTCTCTGCCAATTTCACCCACAACGAGTAGTGAAAAAATATGCTGCGAATCACACCTCGCAATTTGTATATTGTTGATAAATTGATTGACAACGGGCAACGCTTGGTTCTTCTCCTTTACTGTAATGGCAGCCACGCACTTGGCTAATGAATAATACGCCTGCTTGTGAAGAGTGCTGCTCTGATTCGTGGACATTTGGGAGATCGGCTGTAATAGCATTTGAAGGAGGTCATGGTAGCCTGCACCCGGTAATCCGCACACCACCAGGCTTTGGAAAAACTGAAGCATTGAATTTAGGGCTGCACCTGTGGAACAGAGTTACAACTGACGCAATCACGTGCTCGTAATTACCTTGTAATAAAGGAGACTTGACTAAATTCATTATTTCGGGTAAGATATTAGTAGAGATGTCCTGTAAAGCTTCGGGTTGAAATTCCGCCATGGACTTAAGGAGAAGTAATGTCCACTGTGCGATTTGCAAATCAGATTCATCTAATAATGGTGGCAGTTCAACAATGACATGATGGAGTAAGGTATCGTAAACGTAAGGCGTATAATTTCTTATGAAGCAGTCGAGCAACAACAAAGTACTTAATTTTAATGCTCGCTGATTTTTCCGTAAGAATGTTGCTAAAACTGGTACTACTTCATCCTGAAACATGTTAATTAATACCGCTTTATGTTTGTATAGATTACGTACAATTATAGGCAACTCCACACACAACGGCGATGCCGCGATTTTAGTTAAAGCTTTGACAGTCGTTAGACGAGTTATTTCATTTTTAATGCGATCCAAAAATATAGGTAGACACACAGGAAGTTCGTCTGTTAACCCATCTCCTAAATTGCAAATAATTTGACCCATCGTGGAAATGGCACGTTCTTTTACTTCCTGATCAATATCTGATGCTTTAAGTCGGGCCAAGGTACATTTGTATATATTTTTAGTATAAGGGGTATAGTCGAATGTCGGATGACAATTTAAAGGGCGCATGACTTTAACTAATTCTTGCAGAACAAGTAGTGCTTCTGCCGTTATTTTATAAAAACTGTCGCTAACCGAGTGCACAACGGGCAAGAGTAAAACAGACATGTACGGATGAAACACTTCTGGTGGATGCGACGTCAAAAGACAATAAATGAAAGATAGAGCATCAATTTTCATATTGCTGCTTGAATACTTCTCACTAAGCGAATATTGAATACCGGGTATAAGGTCACCTATGTGGTTCGTTAACGCACCGGGTAATACACCACACAGTTCTTTAAGCAACTGGAAACAATCTTGTCGGGTTTTAATGCTTTTTTCTTTCATTTGTCCATGAACTCCTTTCACAATAAGAGGAACTTGTTGCTGTAGAAGGAATATGGGAGATTCTTCTTGCTCATTAGAATCGGGTGCCATATTGACAGTGATGGAGCGTTTGGTTTGCTTCAAAAGAGCGATGTAGGCGTGAAATATATCAGACTTAACGTTCTCCTCGCGTTCTAAAAAAAATGCCAAAAATGTACAACAATCAGTATATAAAGTAGGTTCGACTAAAAAAGTAACAACCAATACTAACACATAGTACCTATGTTTTTTTTTATATTACTTTCTTATAGTTTGGATTAGAATCTATAGATGATATACCTATTTGCTACATAAGAATAATATGAACCTTTATTATTTGAAAATAAGAAGAATTTAAGCTTAATTACTTTTATTGACAGGCGTATGACTCAAGGTCTGGTTCAGACCACCTGAGGAAATCAAAAAATTAAAAACAGCCTCTCTATATTCGTAACTTTTATATCCCCAAACCTGAGCCCCACCTATGGTTGCCATCTCAAAACTCTGCCAACTAGGACAGGAGGCGTGAAAACCCCGGATTTAGGGATTATAAACCCAGACATATCAACTGAATTTTAGAAAAAATATTGTCTAAAGAAATAGTCTTTGAAATTCTACTTTATTTTTATCACTCACTAGACTGTTTCAAATTCAATAATAGTATAAAGGAACAAGGGATTAAAAAGAGTGTTTGTTCCTGAGAGAATGGTTTAAATTTAATATTTTTAAGGGAACAAAAACCAGTTTAATCCAGTGTTGCTTATACTATTTTTTCCAATACCGATCGATTTAAATCCATTTTTCCATGAATTGTTTACAAGAAAACAAAAACGAGGGATTAAAACTTTATTAATCTCTAAGGATTAAAATTACTTGTTAATGTACAAAAATTAGGGATTAAATTCAAGAAAACAATGCAGGTATTGGAAAAATTCCTTTCTTTGGTCCACTGTTATGCCTCTAGTGAAAATATTCTTTCAACGTTGGCATTATGAGCAGGAATGCAAAAAAAGAACCAGACAATTTTCAATAACTTTAATAAGTTTAATCAGGATTCGGTGTGTGTAACCAAAGGTGATTGGCGCCTTAAAAGTTTATCTTGTTTTGACAGAAACTCATAGATATCTCAGTAGCCTTAAACCCGGACTACCAATGAAACCCCGCCCGGACGCTCCCCGGACGCCCCCTAAACTAGGACAAATCCGGGGAAACCCGGACGGATGGCAACCCTAGCCCCACCACATATTATAGTCTTTTTTCGTATAAAAGGGAACATTTTCATTCGTTATTGAAGCATTGATGACTATTTTTCAGAGTGCTGTACTGTATACAATGTTACAGTACGTATTTTACAAGACAATTTATTTTATTTAAAACATAATACCTGTAGAAATGTGTTGTCAACTTCACTGACCCTAGAGAAACATTACCTTTAAAACGTGTAATTAAAGCAGCCGAAAGCGATCTGTAGAACTCTGGTAATAATTCGTGCCGACTTGTTATAACAGACTCTAAACATTTCGCAGCAGATCTTCTAACCTTCCAACTCATATCATCGTCGTCACTATACTCATCATTCTCCTCATCGTCGTCATCATCATCAGCCATATCATCGTCTTTACTGTCTTGAAATTCATCGTCTTCATCATAATTGTAGTTGGGATCGTATGTCATGTACTTAAGGCATAATTTTATTATCTAAAATTAGAACAAATAGCCGCCATTCTCGAGTCGCGTTAATCATTTACCGCTGGAATATGAGGTGTTATTTCTTTCGGGCAACGTTGCACGAAAGCTTCGAAAGCTTGGAGGCAGAACTCTCGTGTTTCGTCGTCCTCTTCGTAACTGTACTGTAGTATTATGGGGACAAACCTTTCTATGTGCTCCCCAAATCTGTGACCTGACTGCCGACTGATAAAATAACAAATTATGCAATGAAGTATCAAGAAACCAGTAAATCTAGACGCACAATGAGACACAAGCGGCGCATTCGCTTTGTATTCTGTTGAAATTTGTAACATATTGGGTTTACCAACGGTTTTCGCCGTACAATCCAGCATGGGATTAAAACTGTATATTAACATGTTGGTTATATCCTAGTGCAAATGCAATTAAATTACTACAAAATCTATGTGATGCGGCTTGTATATTTGTAGTAAACACCCTCATAACACATATGTACACAATAATTTCAATAGAATACAACATATGTGTTTTTTCCCATGCGCCACGTGTCTTAATATGCACCTAGACTAGAGAAATTGTTTTTTCTTGTATTTTGGCACACTTATAAGTTGACGGTTGAAAGTAACAATTGCCTATAATTTGGCACCATGTACTTGAAAGTGTAACACAATATAAGGTTATAAATCATTATATCTGTCAAGTTGGAGTTCATGAACGAAATAAGAATGGCAGTGTAAAAATAAAAATCTTACCAGACTGCTGCCAAACATTGAATACAGGTACGGCTTTTGGGACTACTAAAATTAACCGCCAGTCCATCGTATAAATGATCAACTAATTTAGTATACAGAGTGTTATTGCATGATAAGACCAGATTACTACAAGCTACTATCGTTCGTTTTCGGACCGCTTGCCGCAAAGAATACAGTTGAGGAAGAAGTGCATTTAATATAGATATGTGAAATGAAGATAACACATTTCCAAATCTCGCTAATAGATCGGCCACAATGTCCAAAGCTTCTAATTGCACCGAGACGTCTTCCTGTAAAAAAAAACCATTTGAATATCCACATATTTAAATTTAAACTAAAAAAAGTGATGACAGGTCCAAATTGTTAAGATCTTTAGTAGAACCTATAGAAATGAATTAACTTCAAAGTAATGCTTGTAATGTCAGAGTAATGCATATGATAGTAACGTATTTTTAACGTTATTTTTCACACATTAAATGCGTGTGCGTTTTTACAATTTAAAACCCATTTTTTTCAAAACTTACAAGTGCTTTTGTTGTTTTTTTTCTGCACGTTTGTATTTCTGTGAGTGATAAAAAATGCACAATGATGCAAATTCCTAAAAATTATGCCATAATACGCGTACCCGCCGACTGCAGCAGGTTAATCGCGTTCGTTGCTAGGTTCAGTGGCAGAGCAACAGTTGCGCACGTCGTGTCAACATGTTAAACTCCACCGAGTGTATATTTTCTTAAATATTTTCTATGATTTTTGGATTATATATGTTAATTTATAAATGAAAGACATTATTATTATTAATACAAGAACTTCATACATCATACAGTCGTGTATGCAAGAAACTCTACAAGAAAATGCATATAATTTCCTATACAATATCTCATACAAGAAATGATACAAAAAACCATATACTGTCATACAGCCTTTAGCTAGGTTCCAGTCTAATGGAAACACACTTGAAGCTACTGGGAAGAAAAAGCACTAGCGACAGAATCCTCTGTTCCAATTGGCCAATTCATCTACATTTATTAAACAGCTGTAGAAGGAAAGAGAGTAGACATTCTAAATGAAAGATACCTTTAGGTAAACCTTACCACAGAACAACTTAAAAAAAATTTCAGCAAGGGATCCTTGATGCTATTTTAAACCTAAAAGAGGGAAAAGTGTGTCCCCTGTTCTTAAGTTCAACCTTTAAGTTTGGTTAGCTGCTGGTTTACCTGCCCCAGTGTGCGGCTCTGAGACACAGTATCTAGCCTGAAGCAATGGGAGGGCTCAACACTTCGTGCTGTTGAAAAGGATATTTCTAAGGTGACCAATGTAAACGTCTATTTCCCGGAGAGCACCGACGAAACACGTGCACAAGCAGAAAAGCAGCTTAAGCACAAGTGAATGGCTCAAGAGAAAGCAGGATCTAACTATACCAGCATTTAATATTCTTTCAAGCTTGATGTAAATAGAATCCTTTATTATTTGAAGGCAAAAAGAACCCCAAAATAAGTGGTTGTTAGGTTCTTCAATGATCTAGAGCTACTCTAGAAGCAAATCGGGGAAGTCACAATTATCCTAAAGGGATCAAGAGATTATTAGCATTGTTTTGCAACTAAAGGGCATTATTATTATGGACTATAATGGGTTCTGGCCCTTACATCAATCATAATAACACTAGAGCAAAGTACTGTTTATTAGCACATTTTTAAAAAACGTAAACGGTCTGTCCGTGTATAGGATAAACTTACCCTTTCAATAGCTGTAGTTAAATGACCAGTGATCCTTTTGCAAATATTACCCGATAAACCTCCAGGCGCTTGAGGTAACTCTGAAATAACAGTTTTCAACCCAATACTCGAGATGTCACGCAACTGTTCTTTATCCGATATCATATTTGTACACAGAGCCTCGACGATAGTTTCAACTTGAAACTCCTTTACCTTATTAACCAATGGACCTAAGCTGCAAGAAATTTAGAGCACCTTAAATCTGCAATTCAAAGGTTACCATTTCACAGCCAAATTTTGAACTTCTCCATTTTTATCTTCTAATAAGCGCAGTAACATTCGCACTACCTTCCGCTCTGAATCGTCATCTAACTTAATGCTATCTTTCTGCAACTCTGTCATTAAATCATTAGTAGCCATAAAGCGAAAGTCTTTATCGGAAGATTGCATCTGCAAGTTTATAGGTTAGAAGTTAGAAGTCTGGGATTGCTAATGTAGTCGAAACCTTTTCTAAGAGATTTGCTATTTGGTAAGAAACACTAGCCATTTTAAAGAGTAGTTTCCGATTAAATTTAACAGTAAAAATGGTATTAACGTCCGGTAAACTACGTAACTATAAACAACTGAAGAGAAGCGTTTATAAAATACCCCACATTTCACGAATTTATTAATCGCTCTTCTTTCTCCAGTTATGCATTATTTTTCGTAAATAAACGATACTATCTAGCAGGATATCACACGACACGGCTCAGCAAATTTGCTTTTTCGAGTTTTACAAATTCACTCAGCTTTTTGACAGACTCTACTTGGCCTTGGCGATTCTGAAAAGCCGGGACGTAGGAAATTGCACCAATCAGATCGCGTCCGGAGCGTCTGCGAAATTCAAAATTCCTACGCGCATTTTTTTCAAATGAGAAAAAGAAAATCGGTAATTATATGAAGTGGTAGGTGGCATACCATTAAAAAAAGATGCCTTTTCGTCATTAAAAGCTAAAAGTTAAAGGGAGAGAATACAGATCGTCCAGAGGCAAGCAGAAATGTCTAGTTAGGCACTGGGGTCCGTACTTACTTAGATCAAAATGAAGTTGTGATGTTTGTGTGGTATTACAAACTTAGATCCACTGGGAATAAGTGAACCAGACGGAAACTGACTAGCGGAACCTTAGCACTTCCCTTCAGTAAGGGTGTACTGCATTGTCTGGAGTTGATGACAAAATTATTATTAACGTCCGCTGCAAGGCTTTAAGGTTGTCTAGCAAGATCCGTTTCTTAGGACCTGCAGAACCTCCATCTGTATCCCAGAGCAACCCGAGAACGTGGCCGTGGTCAGGAGTCGTCTGGTGGTTCAGAACTCTTGGACAACTGGTGTGTTTCTCGCACAACTGAGAAAGAACAACATCAAGGGAGGCTGATGATTTTCGGCATTGAGGAAGACGAAACTGGGAAACCATCTCGAACCATCAGAGGTGGCTGTCACAAGAGCAAATACAATTATTAGTGAATGCTCAAGGTAAACTCGATGTGTTGTTGCTTGTTGGAATCCAACGACACCAATGCATGACGTTATGTCAATAATAAAAGAATTCATTTTATTCAAATAAACCTGCAACATCGCCGGGTACCTGCGGCGGTGCAGAAAACTGATGATTATGTGTATATTATCATTTTCTTTCTTCACTTTGTTTATTCAGTTTGATTTGTAAAACGCCCATATAAAGATGGAATACAACGATTACTCATAGAAATTGTGAGAAAATTATTCGGTACTGCAACGCCGGAAATGCATTTGGCAATTATGCAAGGACGTCACATCTGTCAACACGAAATGTTATACGTTCGTAATTTTTCGATAAAAGTCGAGATAAATATAAGATGGAGTCCCTATTTTAGCTGCATACTTACTGATATGGCAATTATCGGTGCGTTGCATTTAAACAATAATATATATTTTACGTTCGACGAGTGTTTTTAATGTTCGTTACGTTTGTTTTGTGAGAAATCGTTTTGGGTGTCGTTTAAAGCAGAACAATGCGCGAATTTAAGGTAGTTGTTCTCGGTTCGGGTGGGGTTGGCAAAAGTGCGCTGACTGTGCAATTTGTTTCGGGCTGTTTTATGGAAAAATATGATCCCACAATCGAAGATTTTTATCGAAAAGAGATCGAGGTGGATAACTCGCCTTGCGTCTTGGAAATTCTCGACACGGCAGGTACGGAACAGTTCGCCAGCATGCGCGATCTTTATATTAAAAATGGACAGGGGTTTGTAGTGGTTTACAGTCTGACTAATCATCAGACATTTCAAGATATACGTAGTATGAAGGAATTGATTACTAGAGTAAAAGGTACCGAGCGTGTACCAATTTTACTTGTTGCTAATAAGGTCGATTTGGAGCATCAGCGCGAGGTAACAACCGACGAAGGTGACGGTCTTGCAAAACAGTGGGACTGTCCGTTTGTGGAAGCTAGCGCGAAAAATAGGACCAATGTTAATGAAGTATTTGCAGAAATCGTTCGCGAAATGAACTTTAGTCCTGAAAAAGAAAAAAAAAGCTACTGTTGTTGTACCGTGCTTTAATATCGGCCTCATTATGACTAATTACGGGAACAATATATATTTTGGGTAGCACAATGTTTGTGTAAACTGCTACCGAATAACTTCATGTTTGTGTCTCCGCAAATTGGAGGCCAGATATTTTTATTAATGCTCATTATGATACGTTGTCGTCGTTGTCATAAAAGGCTTGTACTGCACATTACGTATATTTTTATACAGTGAACAAACTTGATGCAAACATTGTAGGGATATTTTTATTTACATACACATTTTTAAAGCAAATCATATCTATAAGGTTAATATGTACACATTCGATAGTGCCTGAAATAATGTTTTTTACACATGAATGCATGAAGGGGCATGGGTGCTATATGGCCTAAGATCGTCTTTTTATCTAACGTAGACAAAGTCATAACTTAGCATGACTGGCCTACTTGTCGGAATATCATATCTGCATTAGTGTATTGTACATTGTTATAAACAGCTCATCCATGTAAATAAACTTACCATAAATTTTATCAAATGTATGTTTTTGTAAAAAGGGCTGAATCCATGTGTGTGTTTGATGAATGCGAATGCGGGAGTGTCTACTTATAGTTGTTTATCCAGTAATTAAAAATGTTAATAGTTATCGTGAATGTTAAGACGCCAAAAAGGATTTGTGATACATAGCTATTATAATAAATACCTTTTAAGTGGATCTGATTATTTTCGTTTTATTTAGCAGCTGCGTTCTCCAACTTAAATGTTATCAATGGTATTTGTACATTCAGATATTCATATTTACATAAATTCCCAAAATTCATGTTTACTATCATAGCAATAGGCTTGTATTATTATTAGGATATATCTATATTTTTAATAAATGTTTTTCTGTAACTTTTCCTTTTAATGGGGGCTAACAAAATTCGTTACATGAGTGAATCAACTGGCATACGGTAAAGGCTCTATTAACTTTTTTGTTAATTGTTTTAAAGAAGCTTAATGGCAGACTTTTGTTGCTATTTAGTAGAGCTTTACTGTACCAAATTTAATGACCTTTTAATAATACTAGTCATTTTAATCGTAATTTAAATATTTTATAAAAGTGAGTGTGACTTATGTAATAGGTATCCATAATAGACAATAACAATTTCTGCCTTATCAATTCCATTACCTAAAACGTTTATTAATAATAAAGTACATTAAATAATAAGCCTTACAAGCTGCACCTCATCACTACCTACCTGCGTAGTACGCTGTAGTGGTAATAACGATACAAATCTATAATTCATGATGGGAATCTTTTAGATTGGAGGATGGTTTAAGAAGAGGAAGGTAACAATTTTATAACTGCTGCCTGTGCGTTGTTTATTTTATTGGCCTCCTTAATTGACCATTTGACTTCTGTATGCCATTCTATTACGTACAAATGTGACTACAAGTTATCATTAAAGGCGGAGAGTTTTATTTTGATTAAGCTTTGTTGGACAATTTAATGATTAAAACGTACCCCCACATATATCGTGAAACAAAAACATACCCCCAAAGTATTTGAAGATTGTTGACCAAACATAAAAATTAAATTTCAGCCTCTTAGTAAATAACAATTGTCTGGTCCCCTATTTTAAAATTATCACTGTCAGTCTTTTGCATATTTTTTGTATTAGCAAACTCTACATTTTGCTCAGACCAAGTAGTAATGTGTAGTAATGAAGGTAGGGGGGGTTAGCTCTGAGGTGCACCACAAAAACATTTTAAAGTACTCCTTTCTCGAAAATCAATTACCACATTTTTTTTAAAATTGCAGCTGATAATTAAAAGTAACAAAATATACAATCCACCCGAGGTGCGTCGCCTATCATTGTATTTCAGCACTTTCAAAATACTACGACAAAAAATGATAAATTCATTGTAAAACACTTCAATTAAAGCAGAATTTTTTAACAACCTAACATCAACTCCAATTAGAGAAACGTGTTAATAATTTATTAATAGTGCAAGAAACTAAATACAGCACATACTTATAAATTTCCAACGGGCCATTATGATCTACAGGCTAGGTGGCAATCGCCACCCGCCCTCCCGTGCCAGTCCGCCCCTGGACGTTGTTATCCTCGAGATCAAAAAAGGTATCCCGAACTGTTCGAAATATCCTCTAACATGTTCAGTACTACACAGGTTTGTATGGGAACGATCGCACTACTCGACTACCGTAACCGTATTCCTCTGAAAGTGTACCTCTAAAACGTCACTCGCGCCTTCTTGTCACATCCTTCCATGGGGTGATAAAAATGACTCTCCTCGGCCACGGCGCTGTTTGCCGTCCATGTATGTTTTTATGTCAAAAAATACGAAAACCTGTGTTCTACAGAGCTAAACTGCTTGAGCTACCAGTGAGAGCTACGCTTAATTTCCCCCGATGCAACAGTATTGTGTAGGTATGAGTGTACTATGCTATGATTTTAATGTAGTCAGGGAAAAACTACATACCTAACTTAAGAATGAGCGTTGATTTGTTAAGGATAAATTACTGTTGAATTGTACTGTCCATTACATAGCAAAGGTAACGAAACATTAACAATAGATATGTATATTTACCAAATAAATGCCTTTAGGAAAAGTACAGTAAATAAAACATCATAAAAACAAATACAATGTGAACACTTAATAAAACTACTATAAAAACATATTAATGAAGTTTGGAATGTCCACTTCGATTTTCTACTTGTACTTCTTGACGATAATCTTCATTCAGCGTCTTGGCCAAAAAGTACAATTCCGCTAACGCAATGGTAAGGCTGCAAATAACACCAAGCAGTAGACGGAAGCCAAAATCTAAGGTTCCCACCAGTAACTCGATCCCATGAAATCCAAACAGGAATCCTGTTAGTACCGACACAATAAATTGGAAAACGGCAATAAGCTGCTTGTTAATTTGCTTTACTGAAAGAAAATAAAATTTGTATTATTAAATCGAGATAATTCCCTAGACGTCAAAAGTGTCACATAATTCTCTCTCATTCTTAAAAAGTTCTTCAAGAAAACTTCAACTGTCCTTAAAGGCTCAATTCCAAGAAATACGTAGAAACTCAAGAGAAGTGCATTTCTCCATTCTGGATGAACTGTCCAAAGTACACATCATGGAAAAGATTCCTGACAGAATTAAAAAAAACCTCGAAAAAAACACACCTCAAAAGTGTTACAGCATTGCCGTACAAACACGGGATGAGTGGGAGCACGAACAATTCCCCCAAAGTGAAGTGGAGACGTCTAATACACAAAAGGTTCTGTAACAAAAGAGGGAGTAGGCATCAGAGTATTTGGGATAGAACCAATTTTAATATCAAAGATTAAGAAAATCTGTCAATCTCTGCCATTATCTAACAATATTCCAGGCAAAGGTTTGTGCAATGAATGCTTATGACCAAATTCTATTGGAGAACCGAATTTGGTAAGAACCGACAGTCAGGCGGCAATAAAAGTGCTGGTGTACGTCCGAAACCTCAGGCAGGGGACAGAAAACAATACTGTTAAGCTGATATGGGTACCCGGACATTCTTCTATTAAGGGTTAATGAAATTGCTGAACGACTAGCCAAGGAAGATCGGTAATTCCCTTTTATAAGATCTCAACAGGAAGGTGGAATTGCACATGTAATAGTGGGAAAGGAAAGCCATTTTAAAAGAATGACATGAGAAATATTAAGACAAGGCTCTACTAAAGGTCCCCTCCAGTCAGGGAGGTGGAGACCTCCTGAAACTCAGTAGCAATTGACAGGTTAACGTCGAATGAAAAGACGTGCACAAAATGGGTCTTGAAGTAGACCCTATGTGTAAGAAATGCGCAGAGAAAGAAAAAAACACCACTGCATATACTAATACTAGGCCATTGTGAATATACACTTCAAGCAGATTCCTGGAGAAAAGGAAGATGCATCCAAAAATCATTGTCAAATAGGTATATCATTTTGTCAAGTGTTTAGTTCGTTGAAAGTGTAAAAGTCCATTAAAATTTTCAAGCAAACCCAAACAGTATTGCAATGATAAAATCTTAATATAGATTCTGTAAAAATTGACCATAGTGTTCTAACGATTTCACTGTCACATTAAGCAAAACAAAATTATTTCTACTTACTTTGATAAGCAATTGTATCTTCTGGGAGAGGTTTTGTAACGTTATCCACATTTTTGGTTATTGCTTTGTACTCCCGATTCTCTTGTTGAATTTTCAATCGTGAGCATCTAGCGTCCAATTCCTCATTGCGAGGAATTTCGTCATTTTTCGGCAGAATTACTTCGGAACCTAACAACAAATCGTGCAAGTAGCAATTTTCCATGTGTAACTTATTAGATAACCATATGAGATCGGAGAGCAGTAATGTGGATTTCATATTGTTGCATTCTTCATCGTAGGTGTCGATGACAACTGGCTCTAACTTGAGACTTTCGATAAAAGTTCGATCAGTTTCTGTAAGCACGGTATCTGGAATGGATAGAGGATCACTTGTAGATTTTGGCTTAGTTGCACGCATGGCACAAATGTTTGGTGGAGCATCGTCATACTGATGCAAAGAACGGATTCGTTTAATTAACTTTTCAGAAGGGAGGATTGTGATTGACGAATTATTAAGAGCTGCCTTCATTTTGATTTGTTGTATTAATCCCTAATTTATTTTGCAAATCCACATACAGTTGTTGTAACTCTTCTTGCTTTTGTTCGTAAGTAGTATCTACCTCTTCACAGTGAACGCTCATATCATCAACAAATTTTTCCCATTCTACTTTCCGGCTATTTCTCGCGAGTTCGGTTGCAGAATCCTGTGGATAAGTTGATTCTAAGTCATTAATTATGTTACAAATGCTTAAGGCTTCTTTTATTGTATCATTGACGTCTAACAATGAAAAATCTACAGACTCCTTCAGCCTATTAATTTGTGTCCCTTTTATGTCAGCTATTTTTTCTAGCAACGTAAACAGATGATCCACTTCTACATCACCACGTTTTTGCTGAAAATATTCTTTTATTTAAAATAATTGTACAAATAAAGCTAACCTCATATTCTCGAAGAGTAAATTGTATTTCACCGTGCAAAAATAATCTATGATCAAACAAACGAGTCCAAATAGCGTTAATATCTGCAAAATTGTCTTTATGAATTTTCAATAATTAAACCCAAGCAATCATTGGTTACCTTTGCAAATATCCACCGAATTCATATCAGGCACGGGACTGGACTATTGTGTCATCATATAATTATTAATATTTAATTAAATAATTGAAATTGAGGTTAGGCAAGATGCTATATACCGGGTGGAACAGAAGGAGATTACCCCGGAATCCAGATCGCAGTTTTGCAGAGCCTAGAAGCAGATCTTCTCTCACTCTGATAACCTCAAGGAGTGCAGCCTCCCACAACGGTAGGGAACCTCACTAACCTTTTTTATTTATTTCAGGACGACTGCTCAGTGGAGGCAAACAGATTCCTGCTCACTATGGTCAAAGACCAGCACTGAGGGGTTACCGAAAAGTACGCCACTGCTTTTAAATAGAATGCAAAAGAGTTTGAATGAAGTTAGCAGCGTTTTCCTTTTTTAGTAAGAGATAAGGATAGCACCGTGCATTTTTGGGGTGTAAAAAACTAAAACAGAATTCACCATTTAATAAAATCAAATAAAAGATGATCGTTTTGGCGAAATAAAATTAAATTATTAAATTCCTATCTACTAATGTTTAGTGATGAAAGATGCAATGTAATTAAAGTGTTAAATTTAAAAATCCCGTAAAGCAATTGCCTGTTTTGTGAGTGAATTGTTTTGAGGGATATCCAGAATGCCAAGTCTAATTGGGGTGTCTGAATTTGTGGATGAAACCAGGGAAGATTACAACTCTCCTATAACATCTACATTTGTATCAAGGATGCAGCATTGCAGAAATACAATTACAGCACTTGAAGAGGTTTGTTAATCAATAAAATCTTATTAGAATAACATTGCACTTTGTGAAGTATTTGTAACATTTATCAAAGGATGTACTGAGAGCTTTGATAGTGGTATCAAAGAAAGGATATTTTGTTGCAGACTCTGGATTTTGACAGAGATGGGTTAACGAAAATGAAAAAGGCAATTAAGGCTATCTATACTTCGGGGAACAGTAAGTACTTATTTAATACTCAGTCCGGCATGAAGTAATACTTTCAGCCCACGTTGATAATGAAATGTACTTAGCGAGAGCGTTAGAAAAAATTGGAAGCAACGCCATTTCGAAAGATCAGGAAAACGACATTGGAGCCGCATTTATTAAATTTGCGGTAGTGACAAAAGAGCTGTCCGCTTTAATGAAAACATTAATGCAGAATATAAATAATATTGTTATGTTTCCTTTAGATAATTTATTGAAAGGCGATTTAAGAGGCGTTAAAGGTGATTTGAGAAGACCGTTCGATAAAGCGTGGAAGGACTACGAGAACAAATATGTTAAAATTGAAAAGGAAAAGAAGCAGCAAGCTAAAGAAGCGGGTTTAATACGAACCGAAGTAACCAGTGCCGAAATCGCAGACGAGATGGAAAAGGAAAGGCGATTGTTTCAGTTGCAAATGTGTGAAGTATGTTAATTTTATTGTAATTTGGTAATGTCTCATTATTTCTTTCAGTATTTAATTAAATTTAACGAGATTAAAACAAAGAAGGGTATAGACTTATTGCAGAACCTCGTTGAATATTATCATGCTCAAACAAAGTAAGTAGTAGCGTTTAATTTTTATAAATTGTCTTAACATCGTTTGTAGTTACTTTCAAGATGGCTTAAAAACAATAGAGCATTTTGGTAGTTACGTGGCAGATTTAAGTATTAAGTTACAAAAAATTAAACAAAAGCAAGAAGATGAGAGAAGAAAATTGACTGATCTCCGTACGCTTATCCGAGCGGTTCCAGGTATCGATAAAGAGGTGAGTTGATGTTCTCGTCTCTTTAATTCGAGTGTAAGTCACCTCAGGTAGTTCACTTGTAAGTAGGAACATAAACCGGCTATTAGATTAAAAACGATGTACTCCTTTGTCCTTTCAGATCATTACAGCTGAGGCATCTGATTGTTAATTTTGTCCCCAACTTAAGCCTATTATACTTTTTGCGAATTTGTAGTCAAGGTCAACTTTTTTCAAAATTAGATCCGGGCCTTTTTCTTGATGCATTCTCAACTTTGCATGTGCACTACTCAACGCATTACCTATTTTCATTAGCTGTTGTGGAAATCCCAACGTTACAAAGAATTGTCTATCTATTGGTTTAATCATTTTCGATATTTATAATTCATACTAAGAAAGAATATCGACACGAATGATTTAACATGTTTATTGACTAAAATAATACAAATAATAATTGACTCTAAATCTGGTTGGCGATCAGTACTACGACAATACTAGAAATTGGTATAATTACGAAAGGAATATGAATGAAAGGAATTACTTGTTGTTTCAAAGTAGGTCAATGCAACGAAGGCGATAAGCGAAGATTAGATGGTGATGGCAATTGGCGTTTCTTTTTGTGGTGGGGACAGCTTCGACAAAGGCGATTATATTATGGCTTCATGATGTTGTACAAATTGCTCGATGGAAATAACGTGTTGCTTTTTAACATGCACGTTCATTATTATATATTTATTTAGTCTTACGGGAGAGGCTCCAAAAAATTAAAGTTTTGTGTACAATTCACATTAATGGCTGTATGGCGACATCTTGTTGTACGATTGTTATTTATTCGATGAATTGCTTTGCAAATGCAGTGCAACTTCGGCGGCTCATGCGCCGCACATAATATGTGAGAATATACAGGGAATTTTTCTTAAATGTATATGTTAGGCGCAAAGACCGAAAACGGCCATTGAGCGAAAAAAACGGCCACAACGCGTTTTGGGTAATGTAAATTGACCACGTAGCGTTCATTAGGTTTTTTTCGCTTTGTGGGCGTTTCAAAATAGCCACTACGCGTTCTGAACAATCCAACTGTACCATTACGAGAATTCGCGTTGTGGCTGTTAACTGTTTTCAACCACAACGCATTCTAAAAAATAGTAAATATTCAGAACCCATTGTGACTATTTAAGCACACATCCACACTTCAACGGCTTTATTCTCGAAACGAGTTCACGCCTGTTTAACACGTTCATGGATGAGAACGACGTACCAACGAATACCGTAACCATCAGGACCGCTTCAGGGAAATCGTCGGGAAGCACACAGGGGTTTGTCAGCTGCAATTTCAAGCGATACTGCAGCGACAAAAAGTGCAAGTGCAAATCCAAAGACGTGAAATGTAACTCAAAATGCCACTCCAACAGCTCTTGCAAAAATAAATAAAGAACACTTACGCAAGGAAGAGATAGTATCAAAAAATCGTATGTACCTCTCTGTAAGTAGCTCTCTGTAAGTTGTGGTTCCTAAGCTAAAAGTTTCCTCCCGTTTCACAAAAACTACCCTGAATGTTTAATAATCACGTCGTAGCTATTGGAAAAACACAATGGGTTCTACATATTTGGTATTTTTAGAACGCGTTGTGGTTGAAAACAGTTAAGAGCCGCAACACGAATTCGCGTAATGGTACAGTTAGATTATTCAGAACGCGAAGTGGCTGTTTTTAAACGCCCACAAACCGAAAAAAACGTCAAGAACGCTTCGTGGTCAATTGAAATTACCCAAAACGCGTTGTGGCCGTTTTTTTCGCTCAATGGCCGTTTTCGGTCTTTGCGCCTAACATATACATCAAATTTTTTCCACAAACATGCAAAGACGATAAGGTTGAAATATTAACACTGCAGGAGGGTGGTAATAGTTTGAGAACTGTAAAAACAGCTCCACTTTGTCGGGTGTATTGTTGGTTGCCTACAGTCATCTGTTGTATGCTGTGATACTAGCATCATGTTACCATGCGTTTGATCCTGGTTATGTACAGGGCGTGCTAAGAAAACTAAAGGATAATAATTCTAGTTTAGGGACGCAGCAGCTACTAATGGCGAAAAAGTTTGCAAAATAGTCCCACGAAATAGTGGAAGCTCTTGTATCGTTATACCAACCATGAGTTGTTTCATATTGTTTTGAAACTTTCCAGTTATGACGATCGCGAAGTCATCCGCGTATCCCTGTGTATGCGCTCCGTCTTTGTTCAGAATGCGGAGGACCTTGTCTAGCACCAAGCTACTGACCAAGGAGCTCATCTCCCCATTGAGGATACAATGGCCATGCTTCCGAGCGTTGCGTGAATACATCTTACGGTTGACCTATCATCACAAACCTTGAACATGTGGACACAATACTGAAAAAGAATTAGTTAAAGGGACAACAGATGTTGGAATGCGAGTTTGAACACATTGACGTGCACTATACCAAATCTAGCCAGTCAGGACACATAATCTAATCTAAAAGCCCATACTTTATCTAGATATAGATGGGAAAGAATTAAGTTTTGCAGAAGAGCGCCATCAAAGGTTTCTCTAACACAACTGAATTTGGCATAGAGGGAGGCCATTATGTAATCCACAGCAATGCGCTTCAATTGCTTCTAAGGTAAACTATCTAATATAAACAGAAGAAGGAATTTGGCAATTTGAGTATTTGCTGATATCATATAATCTGAAACCGTTGTTTTTATTATCGACTATTGATAACAATGGCAGATGTATTAATGATTCATGCAGAGGTAGCAGTTTAATTGAGTCATGCAGGTGAACTTCTTGAAGGACGTAATGTTAGAATATTTGTACAGTAGAAATTCTAGTAACCAAATTCGCTTTTAATGTCGGAGTAATCCAAACACAAAAGTACTTGCACATTAGAATCTGTGTATTAAAAATGCCATTTTGAAGGTTTTATTAAATAAGGTATATTTTTACATTTCACTTATAATTTTAAAATATGCTTTATCTGAAATATTGGTTATCTGAAACTCCACCAGCCCCCTTTGTTTTGGTTAAAGGATTTTCTACTGTATTTGAATCCTCCTTAAATATTATAGGGGGCGCAATTGTCGTTTCGCTCACCACCAATGCTGAACCTTTAATCTTATCAGTGTGCAATTTTCAGTGGTAGACAGTGGGTGATTTTGGGTATTACTTGGTTGTGTTACAACTCCATTTGAATTTTCGTATAATGTTTTGCTTTTACACAAAATGCAAGGTACATTGACATTGTCATTAATAATTATGCGCATTTTTATCCTTTACTTATATGCGTTAAACACGGCACATTTTCGGATTGCATGTTCATAAATAAAATTTTGCATCGTGGCGTATCTTAAGCTGTACCTTAGTCCCACTCTGTCTGTGTTTAATTTAATTAATAATAAAAAGTCCAAATTATTGGTAATCTCTGGAAAATGACTTGTTTTAGTGTACTTTTTTCAATAGCACTTGCGGTTCTGTAGTGCCGAAATTTTTAGGACTAACACATTTAAACCGAACTCAAAATTTTTTAAATTTAAAAGAAATGTTATTAATTAAGGACAACTTAAGTTTCACTGGGTCATACTTTTTTTTGGAGGCAAAAATGGTTCTGTACATGCCAAGCAAAGGTGGTCAGATTTACCCAATTGTGAAATCGTGATTTCATCTTCAAACTTTCACGTTCAGTCCTTTGAGAACGCAGTCCTAAAACGACTGCACCTTTCTACTTGGTGTAGTTGTTCTATAGATCAAATGCGTCGACGGATTATGTGGAATATATACATTTTATGCAGATATTTTGGCGGAAGATGACCTGTAAGTCCATATTCAAAATTCACTGACGGTTCTGACACTAGGGAATAGAATCTATAGTGGTTAGGAAAAAATATTCTCACAATGTTGCTAAATTTGCGTGTCCTTATTTTTAATTAGCGCATTTTTTACGTCACTTCCGACTTGCCCTTGCACCTTTAGGCTGTTTTTTTTATTTAATAGATTTCAATACGTTCGGTGGCCAAAAAAAATCAAAGTTGCATAAGTTGTCGTTTCTGCGCAAGTGCATCCTATCTTTTTTATTTGCAGATACTATTCATAAAGGAGAATTTAATGAGCATACTATCGAATGGATTTGCGCTTATGCGCATGTGCAGGACTATTTTCCTTATTTATGTAGCGATTTTTCTAACATTTTGAGGTCTTTCTGATAAAAGTAATTGATTGTGTTAACTTGTATTTATCTGTAAACAAATACAGATAGAGGGTATGGTATTACACTTATAATAATATCGAATGAAATGCTTACACACCAGATCTGCACGCAACCAGACGTTGCACATCAATGTATGTTAGGTACCAATTGTGTGACAATTTTGTGTTAAGCGATGCACCAAATTTCTTATTTTAGGTACCTATACTACCAGACAAGGGTGCCGGTTATTCCCTCCATCAACTACAAGGAGATAAACACCATGGTGTAACTCGTACAGGTCATCTTTTAAAAAAATCGGAAGGGAAAATGCGGCGCGTTTGGCAGAAGCGAAAGTGTCGAGTGCAAGCGGAAGGCTTTTTGGATATTTGTCACGCCGACGAGAATAAGCCACCGACTCGCGTTAACCTATTAACTTGCCAAATTAAAATGGTTCCAGACGATAAACGAGGCTTTGATCTCATTTCATGTTAGTATTTCCCAGTGGAAATGTACGTGAACAAAGATCTTTACAGATAATCGCACCTATCACTTTCAAGCGGAGGATGAAGCAGATCAACATGCGTGGATGTCGGTTTTGATTAATTGCAAAGAGATGGCGCTGATGAAGGCTTTTGATGATAGCAGCAAGAGCGGTAGCAATAAGGTGAATCACAGTTTGATTGAACTTCAGCAAGCAATTATTCGTTACATTCAAAGGATTCCCGGAAACGATCATTGCTGTGATTGTAATTCACAAAATGGTCAGCGTCGCGTTGTTTGCGAGAAAAGAAGTTGATATTGTTGTTTTAGATGCTACGTGGTTGTCGACAAATTTTGGTGTAATAGTGTGTATAGAATGTTCTGGAATACATAGAGATTTAGGTGTTCACATATCCCGTATACAATCATTGACGTTAGATAATTTAGGTACCAGCCAGTTACTACTGGCTCGATTTATGACTAATCAAACATTCAATGATATTATGGAAGCGAATTTAGTTTTTGGTAACAAACCCACACCGTCCAGTAGTATGTAAGTTTAACTTCATTGTTAAATATAGCGGCTTCTCTGGCAATTCTCTTTGTTTCTCTGTATTTGCTATTTTTATGTTTATACCTTTTTCCAATCTCTTGACATTGTGATGTTACAACTCTAGCCTTTTGCTTTTTTATGTTACTTTGAGTCTTTCGTAAATTAACTATGGATTAATCCTGTCATTCGTTAAACATTAATTGTGATTATTATTGTAGGGAAGAGAGATTTAGTTTTATTAGAGCAAAATATGTAGAAAAGCGTTATGGTATGAAAACTTGTGAAAGTGAAAGAGATAAACTGTGTGACTTGGAGGATGCCATTAGTAATGGTGACTTAAGTTTACTGTTGCAAGCGTTTGCTGAAAATGTCGACTTCACTGCTCCATTACCTTCTTCGGTAAGTGTTATCAAAAAAATCTGGCACAAATTGTATCGGCTGCTTAGGATATGGGAGGTACTGCGTTACACCATGCCATTATGAAGGAGAATGGAAAATCCTTGCCCGTAGTAGATTTCTTAGTACAAAATATGTCCTCGCAGGGACTGGATAAACTGACGGCTCCACCCAATTCTCCAGATGTTATGGGTTGTAATTCTGCTCTACACTTATGCGCATTGTACGACAAATCGGAGTGTATGAAATTGTTACTTCGTAGCGGTGCGGACATTACCATACGCAATTCGCAGGACAAGACACCATTTGAAATAGCACAAGTGATGGGGCACCATAGTTGCCAAGAATTAGTAAGTATGTGGGGGCCAATCTAAATTCTGCAAAAAATGAGAAAATTACTTATTAATTAATTAACCCGTTATGATTCAAGGCCTAAAGGGCCTATCTTTTCTCCACCTCTCCTCATTTCTTTCAATTTTCTCGTACCAACGCCTATTCACCTGTTTCAATGTATTTTATATTGCATCTTTCCTATTCGTTGATTGATTGAATTCTATTTGGCGCATATGCGTTGTGCTACCTTAGCACTTCCTTTTAGTATTATTATTATTAATATTGTAACTGCTTGTCAGGATTAAATTCTATTTTGAAGTATGTTTTTTATAATTGGCTGTGTTATGTGTTTTTTTTTAAATCGAACATAGCGAAATTACATTGCATGCAAACTCCTATGTTCGCATTTTAAAAAAACTCACTGTATATTAATGAATACTTTATCAAAGTCCCTGGAAGATCCAATGTCAATTCAAATCTTATCGAGTTTTACTTATCAAATAAACTTAGCAATAATATTATTCTAAGCTTTACTAACATTAGTGCTGTTGTTGTACATCATATTCTTGAGACGATTAAGTCTCAAGCTGTTGGAATGCCGGGAGCCACTTAGGAAAATGATTTAATTCATTTTCCATGCAATTGAATATAGAAGTATGTTTGTGTTCAACCTTTGAAGTTTCTTTCGAAATTGGTTTCTAGTCTATAACTTTTGATTAAATTAAATTAAATTAAATTTCCTTTTATTGCCCAACAGAAAAACAAACATTCCAATTACAGGACAATATGACGTTACAAATAATAGAGTGTGCAAAGAGTCAAATAATAGCTTAAATCTTAATATAATAATACCTTAATGTTCTATATAACAAAACAACCAAAAACAAAACAAAAGAAAATTAATAAAATGAAAAACTATGAATGCATTGTATGGTATTATACAATCAACAATTGCTTTAACTCCCTAAGGGTGTGAAAATTTATATCAAATTGATTGAGAAGTCTGATTGAAAAAGTATGAATTGTTTTGGATTGTACGGCCCAAAATTAATAAGAACAAGTGTTTTTCCGAGAAATTTTGGTGCAGTCGATTTTTGGCAAAAAAGGAAGGTTATAGTCGCCTTTTTTTGAGGCCCCAAAAAAAAATTGTCTCAGTTCGACTCGGAAAAAAAATTTTCTTATAGAATGTGGCCTGTAGAATCCATAATTTCAAACAGTTCCAAGATTGGGCTGCTAGTTCAAAAGTCACAGCCTTTTGAATTTTCTTTCGAAATTGGTTTCTAGTCTATAACTTTTGATTGAGAAGTCTGATCGAAAAAGTACGAATTGTTTTGGATTCTACGCACCAAAATTAATAAGAAAAAGTGTTTTCCCGAGAAATTTTGGTGCAGTCGATTTTTGGAAAAAAGGCCTTTTTTTGCCCCGAAAAAAAAATTGTCTCAGATCGACCCGGAAAACAATTTTTCTTATAGAACGTGGCCTGTAGAATCCATAATTTCAAACAGTTCCAAGATTGGGCTACTAGTTCAAAAGTTACAGCCCTTTGAATTTTCTTTCGAAATTGTCGGATCGAAAAAGTACGAATTGTTTTGAATTCTACGCACCAAAATTAATAAGAAAAAGTGTTTCTCGAGAAATTTTGGTGCAGTCGATTTTTGGAAAAAAGGAACTGCCTTTTTTTTGCCCGAAAAAAAAATATCGTATATAATATACATCTTTATATACAATGGTAGTATGGATGGAATTGATCTTTTCTCTCATAAATACACTATACTTACAGCACTCCCACGTTAGTGAATTGCGCAAAAGGACCTTGTTTGCGTAAATTCCACACAAAATTGCTAAAGCAGTGTTAAAACGGTCTACGTGTACCGCTAATCCAACAAAAACGTTAGAAATTATACGCATAATCAGTTATATTTTCTCACTGTACCTATTTAATTTTCATTGCTAGCTAAATTCAAATAAAGTTTGTAATTGGGCAAAGGTAAGGCGTTAAAATAATAAAATAAATAGGTCTATGGCCTGAAAGAATTAAAAGACTCCTTGCATAGGAAGCATAATATCACATTCCGGTGATTAAATATAATGCTGACAGTATCATGGTCTGTGTCTGGTGCAAAGTAATGACGTAATTCAAATCTCAACTTTGTTGTCAGTATATTTAAATAGGTAATACAGGTTACATGCTGCTATATGGTAATACAGCGATACAACAGCTTTGAAGAACAGTCACAAGATAGCAACACTTCCTTACAAGATTTTCTCCTATCCCATGACACCTCTTTATATTATTTACTCTATGCCGATTAACAGCAGTTTTGTGAAAGGAATGCTTAAGAGAAATGGGTAGTAAATTCAAATATGTTCAGGAAACGAGAAATAAGAAACTTGTTGAATGAAAATTTTAATTGGTAACCCTCTTCATCTTGTTATATAGAAAATAACTGGAAATTGTTGATAATTGGGACATTTACCTTAGTACCAAAATGTAATTGACATTTATTTCATCTGATACATGTCTCTTTCAGTTGCAGAATGTGGTGAATAGACAGAAGCATTTGTTTGACAATGTAAATATAGATTGGAACCTATCGCACGATGACGGTTCTACAGACTTTTCTGACGACGATACTATAATAATCGACGATAGGGTAAGTAGTAAATGTTTGATGATTCTTTAGTAAGTGTGACCCTCGTTTGTAATTTAGAACGGCTCACTCACCCCCGAAAGAAAGAATCGTTCTAGACCACCTAGTTATACAGGAGCAGATTCTCCAGTAACCTTGCGTTCTAGATCGTCTACTTGTGATAGTCTGCAGTCTGGTAGCAGTCCTAATAGTAATACAAAACAAATGCCACCACCTCCTCCTCCTCAATCGCGAAAACCTGTGATAGGTATGACAGAATTAGTGTATTTTTCTTTATCAACTTTTTTACTTTCTTAGTTAATCTCCACGGAAGCTTAAAAAAAAGAGTAGCACCCATGCCTCCGGCCGGCGCAGTCTTTGGTTCTAATGCGACTCCGATTTCTGGTGCAGCAACGATGTATGGCACATTACCAAGCTGTCATACTCGTACACCTTCCGATCCTGCAGTTGCTGCTAGTTACCATACCTTAAGTCATACTCATAAACGTTCGCCAAGTAGTGATTCAAATGCCAGTAGATCTGTGATTCACATGGGTACGTTCGAAATTTTATTTAAAGAAAATTAATGACGCTATCGTTTTGATTAGGTAATAAACTAGTCATATCTTCCGAGAATAAAAATTCGGAAAAATTGTTACTTAAAAGACCACAGAATCCACCTCCACCTGCGCCAAATTCTGGAAACAGATTATCAAATGGACGTTCTTCAGAAAGTATATCATCTTTGGCGTCAGATTTTGAAGTTACCGGAGAACCTGTGCCTCCCCCTCGCAGAGTAAGCACACTTATTAGATACACTCATTTAAACTTGATAGTTGCTAATTTAACTAATTTAATATTATGCGCTCGAGTTGTCTATACTTAGCTCGGTCCGTTTGCAGAGGAAACCTATTTGTCAACTGAGGAATCGTGCAGAAGAAAGTGATGTAATTAATGTGGTAAACAAATATCTAGTTTGCACTTTGCATGCGTTTATGTAATACTTTCTATAATTGTTTATACTTTCGATCCTTTTAAGCGTACTAATAGATAATTTAAAACAAAGGCTAATTGCTTTACGCCATTCTGCAGCGATTAGACTGCAAAACAATGCTTACCTAGCAAGGTTTTATATACCAAACTTCTCAACCATAGTTGCAGTAGTTTTTTAATTGAATAAGTAACAGACTAAAATGAGTTCGTTGCTACCTAGGGAAAGGTTTCCGATTTGATTTCTAGAACGAACTATAGCTAACTAAAGTGTGTTGTGGGTGATAAATAAATCAAAAAGGAATGTACACTGTTCACTTGGCCTAGGCCTGCTTCCCATCCTTTTAGACCAACTTCACTCGACACTAGCGCAGTCTGAAATCTTAATGAAGTATATTATCTTATTATCCCCAAGGCCAGCTTGGTTCCTGGTTCAAATTAGGACGACCAGGTTTAGGCATGGAAATTTTGTGAAACTTCTTTTATTTAACCCGCGTGAAATTGTCACTCAAGAGCTATCCTCTGTCTTCTTTATGTAGTATTGCAGCTTATCTCAGTTAATTTGATTCACTTTAGTACTAAGTCGAACTTTCTAGAGCGATCGTATCGTATGGGTGGCACTCCCTAGGTACAGACGTTTTCAAATCACATCAACAGCCGTCTCTGTGACTTAACGACAGAGGTGGTATGACTACCGGGACCGCCAGCTTTACAAGCCCTCCTAAGCATGGTAGTCAGTTGATGTTCTGTACCACTAAAAACTGGCAATAGTGCTTTGCCGTTTTCTGATCATACATTGCACCACAAGTTGTTTGAAGTTTTGTGCTGTCGGTCTGACATGTAAGATCTTAGGCAACCAACCTTACACTAATATGGCAACGTTGAAGTGTAAGTTTTCCGGTGGAATTCGGCAGGGCCGAGGGAGTATAAATTACCACTTCATCGGTTACTTGTTACGAAATGTTCGCTGAAGTTGTTACCTCCATTTTTTCAATTTAGAGTAAAAAGAGTTTGACTTGGAAACAACTTACATTTTTTTTTTCAATTTTTTTACTGTGTTTACGTGGGTATTTTTTGTCAGTGTGTAACAAAACTGGATCACTAAAATAAGAACTTGTCTTGAAAAATTAACCTAAAAGCCAGTTCTTATTTCAATGGAGAAAAACGAGATTGAATGCAAATTAATGTCTCTTAAATTTGCTTAAAATTCAGTTTTAACAATTTTTGTAGTACCTACTGTATCGAAGTAGCGTTTATATCAAGGCGAAACGCCGAAGCGAAAACGACAATGCGCGACGTCGTGCGGCCCATCCCACACGAATTCGCACCGGAAAAGTTACACTTCAACGTTGCCATTTTAGATAGTGTATGGTTGGTTACCTAAGTGGCAGTAAGCTTCCTATCATTACTTTAATCGGTAATCATGTACAACCATTTACCCCTTTGTAACTACCAGGTGCAGGAGATTTTTTCCTCTTTGTAGTGAGCAAATTTTAGTCTGTTAGAAATTTTGCCCAATACGATCTTTGCTTCTATTTAACCATTTCTGCTGGATTTTGTAAATGAGTGTCGCAACATCAAAGAAGAAAGAGAAATGGCACCAGATTCAGCAAGTAATTTCAACATTACAACAAAAAGACGATTTATTATGTTGCTGAAAAGATTCTGGATAAATATTTCCTTTTCAGTTTTATTTTTGTTTGTATCCATTACATCCATTCTCTTGAATCTGTAGCTAAATTTGAGCTGTTTCAAAATTTACCATTTGAGATGCTTCTGCTTGCATTAAAATTTTATAAGCGTCTGCCTAATCTGATGCAGAGGTATTGAAAAAAATTAGTTGTTACTTAAATCTTTAATCTTCATAGGTAATGTAATAGTAATGTAATGGGTTAATGTGACAGATTTTCATGTCGTGATGCAAGTGGGAAAGTCTCCTTAGATCTCAATTAGCGACAAATATTTATGTAAGCACACTCGCTTCATCTCAAAATTGAGAAAAATCATTGTGTTTTTATGGAAAACAAAAACTCTGAAAACTAATAATGCCCATCTATCAATTTATCCAAATGTATGGCTTTTGTCCAACTTGTCAACACAATCCCTGAAAGCACCTTTGAAGATCTGAGTGATTATACGTCTGGACATACGAATGGATAGTAGCTCATACATGCCAATTGTGTTTGGTTCGATTCTGTGCGAAAAAGTTTTGAAGAAATGGAAAAAAATCATGCTCTTATACAACAGGATAAGCTGCAATCATAAAGATCATGGTTTTGAGTTCGTACATAAAATAGTAGAGTGCATAAGGGCGCACATTTAATTCCAACGGTGCGGCATTGGCGTCAATTTTAATGATTGTATCACAAACCATCGGTCACTTTAACCCAATCTTTTTACTCCGCCACAACAGTACGCGAAAATGACAATGTGATTTTTAATGCACCTTTTTTTTACACTTTTTAGGCGTCAGATTCTCCTATGCATAAAATATCAACTAGTCCGGCATCTACAGTGTCTGTTTCATCGCCACGTGCCATTCCGAATAGAACGTTATATGTGCCAAATGGAAGCAACATCAGAAGATGTCGAGCGCTCTACGATTGTCAGGCGGACAATGATGACGAACTATCTTTTCAAGAGGGGGAAATTATTATCGTAATCAATGAGCATACGGATGATGAGAATTGGATGGAAGGTGTGGTCGAAAACCAACCGGATCGTCGTGGAATGTTTCCTATAAGTTTTGTGCATATGTTACCAGATTAGTGTTATTTTAAATTTATGTATATAAATTAGCGTGACGTGTTGTCTATGCTACACATATAGTCCACAGAATGTATATGTTCATTGAATTTAGTTGAGGAAGCGTCAGTTTTATATTGTGATATTCTAACTTTTAACTTAATTATTTCTTTATCATCGTACTGCTATGTTAGGATTAGTAGTGAATTAATTTCTTTTTGCTTACAGGTGCTACACAGATTAAAATTATGTATTAAACTGAAATTGAAATTTAAGTCCATGTACTGTAATTATAATTTCTATTACCGGTGGATAGAACACTGTGAAGTAGTTCTAAAATGTGGCGATTTATTTGGATGTGTTTATCAGTACTTTATCCGCTCGGTCCAGAGTATTGCACAAATTATTGTATATAGCCATATTTTTGTAGAAATTTATTTGATAAGTGTATCTGTTACTGTGTTTCAATTACTAAACCAAAGAAAAAGAGTCTATCTGAGAAATGAGGAGTATCATAAACCTGTAAATACTTTCCGCACATTTTAGACTTACCCTAAAATGTTGTATTATTTATTGTGCAATTGGCCACATACTTTCCGTTTCATTACTACAGCCTGCAAAAATTGTATTAATGAATACATATCTCTTTGTGTGCTAATTTAATTTACAGTATTCGAGAATGCACAGACAGGCTTATGTGACATGGCTTTAATTGTGTATGTAATATATAAATAATCCTGTAATTTGTACGTTGCAAATACAGATTTTATTAAATTAATATCCGAAGTAATAATAGATTGTCTTTTCATGTTGTGGTTGTTATGGAAGAATACTCTTCCGAAATTGCTACCTATTTTTCACCCAGATGTAGTAGGAGGTTCAGCGGTCTCAGCAAGATATTTATATTGGATTTCCTATAGCTATACTATAGGGAGGGATCAACCTCAAAGGACGCCGACAGTTTTCGGCATTGAGAAAAAGGACCAGGCAACCGAATTGCTAGGGGGGGGGGGAGGTTCATTTATAGGTTTTTCTTTCTAAAAGGTAAGGGTTAGTAACCCTGCCGAACCTGATAAAGTGGGGAGTACGTCAGTACAATGACCACTACAACAACATCAGCAGAGCAGCTGTTACAGGAGCAACTGCAAGAAGCCCGGGAAGCAATGCACCGCCAAGGCAACCTGTTATCAGCGCTAGCTTCAACGCCAGCAACTCGCCTGGGCCGGTTTCGAACTTGGAGCAACGCAGAATGACAATAGGCAGGTATTGTCTACATACATAGTGTATAAAAGAGCATTTTATACAAAGAAACCTGAAAGAGTGTAGGACGGCTGCCGTTACTTTAGGCAGACGCCTCACCGTAATGCAGGACATTGCTTTCATTCTAGAACACTGGGTTGTTAAATCAAGGGTTGCTGGTCTTGGGGGCACAAAAGGAACCGTTTTCTTTGATACACTGCAGGAAAAACTTATTTATGTTCCTACCACCAGCTGGACAGTACATACAGAAGAGTATGTAAAGTTGCCTATTGTCAGTCGCCAAATGGCAGCCAATTATAATGCACATCTACTATCTGTATAAAACAAGCGGCGCGTCAGAAGCTATGTTTTTGACTTTTAAGTCGTTTTTCCAAGATAACTTATCTATAAATGAAGTTGGAACAATTTCCAAAATTCGTAAAGTTAATATCTGGGCAATAACTCCAGGAAAATTTGTTTCCTTTTTTCTTTTTCAAAATATGGCACCCTAACACCCCTAAAAAAAGATTATTTCAAAACATTTTAATAAAGCCCAGAAATATTCAACTCCTTCTGCATCTTCACTCAGAATTCAGATATTGTGGAACGAAATCAAACGTTTTTGAGCAATGGAACAGGTGTCCGGCCTGTAAAGCTCTTCTGCTGTCACACCGGTGTGGCCGTGACAGTACGACCAGTTAAGCTGTGACATACAGGGAAAAGCTCAAGTAGTAATAGCACTCGAGATCCTCAATCAGGGCAGCGAATCCACGTTCGTAACTATCCGAAGTCAGACTGTGTGTGTGGCATCATCAAGTACCCCATAAGCGACTATGTGAGATCATAGAATAATTTCATTTGAAATTAACTGCAAGGGAGCCACCTAAAAGGGTTATAACAACCCCAAAGTAACGAATATTTCCGTTTACAAACATCCCCTTGGAGAAAAACTTAGAGAGCACCCCTTCGGGGGACACCTCTCGGTCCTGCTGACTGACTCCATTGTAGAGGCATTTGAACAGGCATGCCCTCTGAGGACTGCCATAATTTCAAACAGTTCCAAGATTGGGCTACTAGTTCAAAAGTTACAGCCCTTTGAATTTTTTTTCGAAATTTGTTTTTTGTCCATAACTTTTGATTGAGAAGTCTGATCGAAAAAGTACGAATTGTTTTGGATTCTACGCACCAAAATTAATAAGAAAAAGTGTTTTCCCGAGAAATTTTGGTGCAGTCAATTTGGGCCATCGTGGCTGTCGATCCATATAAATTTTCAAACATTTAAGATTGGGCTACTAGTTTCAAAAGTACAGCCTTTTGAATTTTCTTTCGATTGGTTCTAGTCTATAACTTTTTTGCAAAATCTGTAGAAATTGTGTTCAATGCCCATTAGTTTAAATATAATAACTTGTTAAATTAAATGATGTATATCACAGACAACATAGTATATGTGTTGTTCTGTGATGAAATGTACAAGTGCGCCATCTCCTTGGTAATCGATACACTTTTTTCACGTTATTAGTATTTTAAGTTTAGTTGAGATGTCGCCACGTACGTAACTTCATTTGAAATTGCTTTTGAATTTATGCGATTAATAGCCGCCTTGGACTTAGTTTTCCCTAAATGGCACTTCAAGATGGACGGAGTGTTGCAAAATCTGTACAGCAATTGTAGTTCAATGCCCCGGTTTTTGATTAATTAGTTTAAATATAATATGTAAAAGTGGCGGGCCATCTCCTTGGTAATCAATACACTTTTTTCAAGTTATAGATTTTACAGTTTAGTTGAAATATTTTTTGAGAAGTCTGATCGAAAAAGTACGAATTGTTTTGGATTCTACGCACCAAAATTAATAAGAAAAAGTGTTTTCCCGATAAATTTTGGTGCAGTCGATTTTTGGTAAAGAAAGGAAGGTTAAGTATTCAAATACTATGCGAAGTATTCGATTACTAAATATTTGTGAAAGTACTTGAGTTACAAATACAAATAATAAATATAAATAATAATGAAATTTGTTTCTAGTGTATAACTTTTGATTGAGAAGTCCAATCGAAAAAGTACGAATTGATTTGGATTCTACGCACCCAAATTAATACGAAAAAGTGTTTTCCCGATAAATTTTGGTGTAGTCGATTTTTGGTAAAAAAAGGAAGGTTATACACTGCCTTCTTTTTGCCCCGCAAAAAAAAATTGTCTCAGATCGACCCGGGAAAAAAATTTTCTTAAAGAATGTGGCCTGTAGAATCCATAATTTCAAACAGTGCCAAGATTGGGCTACTAGTTCAAAAGTTACAGCCCTTTGAATTTTCTTTCGAAATTGGTTTCTAGTCCATAACCTTTGATTGCGAAGTCTAATCGAAAAGTACGAATTGTTTTGGATTCTACGCACCAAAATTAATAAGAAAAAGTGTTTTCTCGAGAAATTTTGGTGTAGTAAATTTTTGGTAAAAATATACTTCTCGAAGTATTCGAATACTAAATATTTGTGAAAGTGTTTGAGTTACAAATACAAATACTGCTTCCATAAAAGTATTTAATTACAAAGTATGTGAATACTTTAAAGGATTTGAATACTAAAAAGTATTTACTAAATCGAATACTGCCCAGCTCTGCTTGTACTGCCCAAATGTAGCATCATAAAACACGCGGTACGCATCAAATTTCAAAAATTATATCGGTCTGACATCTGTCGTGAGTATAGTAGACTGATTGGTACTTGTTATCAATAAATGCAGGGCACTTCATTTTTACCATCATAATGTTGCATCTTATTCGGATAGATGTCGTCACCCTGTGACAGAAACCTGTAGCTACCGCAATAGTAATAATATAGTTCCCTACATTTAATGGCTTCATATAGAATTCGATTCAACAAACTAACGTTAGATGTCCGCACGATATATTTTTTTAAAATTTCAGGGCTACGAACAAACGTCGAACAAAAACCTACTGTCACGATCCCGCTGTCGAGGTTTGCGGCTATTTCTTTTGATTCATGCATTGTCGGTTAGCACGAAAGTTATGGATGAGTTGGGGGTAACTATTTGTAACTTTTGAATTTTGATTCAAGAAGTTCCGTTATTTTTTCCGCGATTTATATATTTATAAAAAATCGGCATCCGAAACAGTGCCGTTAATTTAGGAAAATTCCGGTCATGTGACAACTCATTTTAACTGCCCCACTTATATTTGCCGATTATTAGAATAGGGATACTCGCAACAAATTTTGTTTTTACATAATTTTTTCTCTTAGACGGATCATTTTGCCCCACCTTTCCCTGTATACCAAATGTATGAACTTTTCGAAATAGTTACGATTTTCAGTTGATTTTGAAATTTTACGTACATGCAATAACATCACTAGGTGCGGAATAAAAAACCAATCTTTTATTTTTGGGTTTAAAATTGGTATGTGTTTCATAATATTCAATGGTTCTTTAAGATTTAAACAGCAACTTGAGTGTGGTTTTTGATTTATGTTAAAACAGTTGAAAAGTTAGATAGATCCTTTCAAATGATTGAGTAATATAAATGCCTAAAAATTCCCCAGTTTGTGAATTATTTAATTAAAAAGTCGTTGCGCTCATCCACCAAAACGTCTACCCTTCCCTCATCGAGTAAATACCACCTCTTTACTATTTTCACTGTTTATGTAATTTATGTAACTATAGATTAGTCATAACTTTTAGTAATTTTATTATAACACTACAACAAGAAGCAAGAAATGTTTTCAATATAATATTTCAATTAATTTTAAAAAGTATGTCCTACTTCTACGGTCACCGCTTTGTTTGTCCCTCTGTATGTATATCATACTGTCATTTTCAGATACTTACCTATTTATTTTACAAACCATGGAGACATGTTTTTCTCCGTTTACAAATGCTCTAAGGGTTGAGCCATGGAAAGTTTTTCTAGGTCATTTGGTTAAACAGTTTCGACAAAAACACGGTTCTACCTTCGTGATGCAAATTAGAAAAGGTAAAAAATTAAAAAAAAAAACCTCCTTAGCTACATATAGTGAAGAATGCCATGACTCAGGAATACCGTCCTATAGATCTGTTAAACGTGATAAAAAGTGATTCAACCAAGTAAACTTTGTATTGAAGAGGAAACTTTGAGTGGAATAACACTTATTGGGATAAAGCATGTTCTGATCATTTTCTCTGACTATTCAATGCATTGATTCCGATTAATATATTTTCAACAATGTTGTTAACATTGTTGTTTTCTAGTAGTTTTATCTTTTTTCGTGAGTGCTTTTCGTATTGAATCGAGAGTAATTCAGCAAAGAGCAATTGCATGTAAGTGTGAATTTCATTAAAAATCACGTAAGCTTAAATAGGAAATATATCCTTAGAGAGTATTTGCAGGGTTCTTTATAATTTGTGAACACATAACTCATCCAAGTAACAAAAACGTTTGGAGTAGGTACGGCAATAGTCATAGAACGTTTAAACATAATCCACTAAAGAAACACAAATATTCGGTGGGCTGCAAAAGCTACAACCCCCCAAATCAACCATTGCTATGATTGTATGAGTGAAATATATAAAAAA